CGTATACAATAAAGTTGGATACGTGATCTAGATCATCTTAAAAAGTTACGTCTATCATTGTGATTTCAGTGTATCTTCCTTCTTGTAAAATAAACCTCTAAAATTCTCATCTAGCTTGGACGTCTCATTGCGTAGTCAATGGCAATAATGAAAAGAAATGCGAACAATAGATCTCATTGCAAGAATCCAGGTTTCAAAACATTAGGTTAGGTTTCAAAGAATTCTCTACCTCGACCTGTTGATAGTAATTTTATTGCAATATCTAGCGTGTGTCCTACCCTGTCTCTGATCTTTATTAAGGATCTTCCCGATGTCATCAGTTCCCAAGTAGGTATCTATGCTGATGACACTAGTTTTTACTCCTGCCTCAATAGCAAATCCGGCATCTCTGACAAAGCTAAACTGGCCGTTGGTCGCGAAAAGGACCTCCAATCCATTGCTGACTGGGGCAAGAAATGGTTGGTTAACTTTTAATGCCTCAAAAACAAAACTGCTCCTTTTCACCGACCACAGTTTACTCTCCCTGCCTCCCATTAGAATCTCTGATGCTCAACACCACGATTGCAAATCTCTGCGACTGTTTGGTCTCAAACTGTTCGCTGACCTACCTGAGATGGAACAAATACATTGAATCAAAATCGACCCCTTTATGGTATATATGGAAAAGTCTTCGCAATTATCAAGTCCTTTCTATGGGATACATCCATGAAGGTTGTTACAAATGAACAGTCTTCTTAAGTTCCAGAGTTATATGTAGGCGTCTTCCAAGGTTCTCTCCCGGTTACTACGCTCTTTCTGGTTTATATTAACGATCATCCCTCGATCATTCTCAGACTGTTAATACATTTATATAAGATTATTAGATTTTCTTGCTGAAACTCTAAAAATGTTGATGACTAGCGTCTATATAAAGTACGAGGGAGAAGTGATGATATAATGACATTTTTCTCTCCAGTAACTATCTTATATATTTATACGTCTACCATTGGCACATGACTTGAATATTGCTGTCACATAACGTCTGGTGCTCCTGCTATATTTTCAGAGATTCTAGATAAAATCCACAGATGAATCAACAACATTATTCGTCCTGATCTGGCATCTCGGCTCTAACAGCACAATGGGTGAAGGACTTGCTTGCAATATTCAGTACCTCCAAAACTAAGCTAGTAACTTTTCATCGTCACCAAGCAGAGGTTGGATTTCCTCTACTCATGTTATTATTCTCTAAAAAATTGTCCTTGCATGCAATGTTTATAGAGACTCAAACATAATACAGATCACCAGATCATCAATCTTTTCACTGTTACAAAACGAATTTTTCTTATATATATATACATATATATATATATATATATATATATATAATTATTTATTTAAAAAAAAAGATTCCAACTCGCGACATAAGAGGTCTCATGTTTCAAAACAAGAGCCGAACACTTCAATATAATTATTTGAATTAAAATTGAGTTAAAGTAAGCTCTGTTCCATCTTCAAGCGAAATTTTTTTTTGGAATAACGTATTTCTGAAATTTACGTGTTTTTATAATTGAAATCAAAATTTCCATGGTAACAGCTAGGGCGAATTGTTTAAGTTGCGTAGGCGTGTGTTGGGTGTTAATAATAAGTATCAATATAGAGTTACTTTCATGGATGTCAAGTCAGGGAAAGGTGGGGGTGTCTAAATTTGAAACGGAAGATGTATTAACCCTAGTCTGGTATGCGTGTCTATGGAGATTTATTTATTTTTTTATTTTATTTTTTTATAAAAGTGATTTGTGCATATAAAAAACTGCCGTAACATTTGTTTTTTGACGGCTTCATAAAGGGTTATCTTTTTTTAGGGTATTTAAACTATTTATTTAGGCTATGGATTATGAAACTTATTATATTGTATGCTTGTTCTTAGCTAATTATTCAGACCATGAATCTGATGATTGGGCTATGGATTAATCAAGTTATTATATTGTATGCTTGTTTTTAGCTAATTAATCAAACCATATATCTGATGATGTCGACAAAAAAACCGTTAACTCATGTCTATCGTTTAATATATATATATATATGTTCATATACGTTGCTTAGTTTCTGAGTGTGGGCACGCCGCCGAGTGATTATAACGCTCCCTTTCCGACCATGAGACCTGGGTCGATTTGTCTGCAAACATAGTGACTTACGAACGTTTTTGAAACATGGTGCTACTAAATTCACAGAAGATGCGATAAACTGAAATTTTCAGCCGTGTTTTAGCAAAATTATTAAGCATAAAGGATTTTTTTTATTATACACTGACCTGAGTATAGCCATATAGTTAGAACATTTGGTTTCGACCGTAAGAGTCCGGTTCGAATCTCACTATGATCGATTTATCAGGAAGGAGACTTCGGTCTGGAAGATGGCGATCCCAGTGTTCGTCAATTTTATCAACCATAACACGAGTTGACCAATTTCTTGTGAATGAATTATTTGAGAGCCGTCGATTTGTTTTGCTAGCAAGAGTTCATCAACTCATCGTGACAGAACTTTTGAACATACTGGCCTTGTTCAGACTATTATTCCCGCCAGAAAATGTAACTAAAGTAACAGCATAGTTACAGTACAAGCCACAGGTGGGTTTTGTGGGTGTTGAACAAATACAAATGTGCCACAGCAAGCGTCTGCAATAGGGATTGGTTAGTCGCCCTGGCAGATAAGCATACGTTTCTGGGAGGCTTCTTTCATTATCTCGATGCGACTTCTGATTTCTGTGCCACATTTTCCGTCGTCTGTTGCGATATTCCAAAGAACGTTTACATGGAGAAGAACGCCTGGTGCATTTTTACTCGGCCACTCCCGTCTGGCGTCAATATGTCTAGATTCTTCCTGCACATGGGAAATTTATTCTTTGGACCCATGAAAAATATTTTTAATATTTATTTCATCGCTCCAATGTGGGGTTGTTGTGATAGGAGCGTTAAACTAAACAGTAAAAATAGGAAATAAATCTCCTCAGAGTCTAATGGTTTATTTCTTATGCTGCCTGCATATCGCTCTCAGAATGTAAACCTACTTAGAAACGGCGCTAAAACGAAAAAGAAAAGTATGAAAATTATTCGAAAACATTTTTATGGTAATAAAGTATAAATTAAGATATTTTCTACAAAATATTCGCCAAATACAAGAGGCAATGGCAACTCAATATTGAGAATTACGGACAGACGTTGTTGTGAAAAAGTACAAGGAAGAAGTGCTGATATAATGACAATTTTTCTCTCCAGTAACTATCTTATATATCTATACGTCTACCAATCTTCCATTTGAATATTGCTGGCACATAATATCCGGTGCTACTGCTGTACATTCAGAAATTCATGATAAAATCCACAGAAGAATCAGCAACATTATTGATCCTGACCTGGCATCTTGGCTTCAACTACTTGCCTAAAGCCGTAATGTAGATCCTCTGTGCCTTTTCTATAAATACTTTCATAGTAATTCTTCGAATGATCTCTCGGCTATGGTACCCAGACTTTGGGAATTTAAGCGCAGTATTAAATTGACAACAAGTTCTCATCAATATATAATTGAATTGACTAGATGCAACAGTAAGTTCTATGCTAAAAATTTCCTGTCTCACACTTCTCGCTTTGAAACTCTCTTCCGGTTCCATGTTTTTCAGTCAACATTGATCTTCAAAAAATTAAATACAACGTCAAACGTTATGTTATCTTCTTGATGGCTCTTCTTCTATTGCTCTCGCTCCTTAAGAATGTCTCTCTTTTTTTATATTCTTTCGCACTCAGTGACCTCTTGTATTGTATCTTAGTGGATTTATTGTCTTATGACTCAGAATTATGATTGTATTTCATCATTCTAAAAACAACCTTCCCAGCAGTGATGAATAATGATAAGGATATTTCTTCATCCTGGAAAAATAAAAAGATAAAAATTTATAATCTAAAGAAACCTGGCCACCAGTGATAATATATGATGATAATATTCCATCATTCGAAAATCTAAAAATCCATCATTATAAAAACGATCCTTCCACCACAAGCGAAGTCAGTACTGTAGCGTAGCAGTAGTAAAAAGAACAACACAGATGTCTCTTATTCGCTCCGTAAAAATCCACAGTTAACAGTCTCAAACGCTACCCTTAAACAATAGAAAGTAAGCACAAACTTTTAAAGAAAAAAAATAGACAATAACACTGAGTACATTTTCACACACACAATACTAATATTGTTATTAACATCGCATAAGGAAAAATACACATTTTTGTCATTAACACGTGTCACAAAATTTTATTATTGTCATTATCGTTTTACGTTTTATGCATTTCATTTTCAGTATAAAAAAATAGAAAATGAATCCTCTAACTACAAATACATAATAACAAGGTAACTTACATTAACAACTATATACCAACATTCAACTCCGTTACAATTGCCTTGCTTGGGATGAAATGATTAAAAAAAATATATAGGACAGATAACGGTTGACCCAAGACTTGAAGGTTGTAGTGATCGGAGAAGGAACTTCTGGGGAGTCTGTCCCGCAAAGTAGCGGGTCTTGGGGTGAATGGAATACAAAGACGATACGTATGGTTTGTGTACACGCCATGTTGGGTCTTAGCTTTAAAGGTCTGAACTGATGAAGGTAGGAATGCAACTAGTCAAAATAATTCCATGGAAATAGCGATAGAGTAGCTCAAAGCTGGCAAAGTTGCATCTGTGGAAAGTGAGATGTAGAGTCAGGTACAAGGCCGTGTAAATGCTTGTGAACTCTGTCAAGGTTGGGAAAGAGAATTCGTCCGATCCAGATCAGATATGACAGCAATAATGCATTATTAATCTGAATTTTACTCTTGTTCTGGGAAGTGAAGTCATGTATTTTCTAAAGCCATATAAGGAGTTGCCCTTAATGTCTGGAATCAACATGAATCCCAATAAACGCTCAAATTAAAGAACCACATTGACAGCGCAAACATTGATTGTAATTTCTGAGAATTCAGGTTTGACTCAGTGATGATTCCCGAATTCGGGAATATATGAAATGTGTCTGAATTCGAGAATAGAGGCAATGTGGCTGAATTCTGGAACTGAAGGAATGTGGCTGAACTCGGGAATAGAGGGAGTGTGGCTGAATTCGGGAATAGAGGAATTGTGACTGAATTGGTGAACAGGGGGAATGTGGCTGAATTCGAGAATAGAGATATTCTGGCTGAGTCCGGGGACAGAGGAAATGTGGGTGAATTTGGGAACAGGGCCATGTGGCTGAATTCGGGAATAGAGGGAATGTGGCAGAATTCGAGAATAGAGGGAATGTGCGTGAATTCGGGAACAGAGGGAATGTGGCTGAATTCAAGAATAGAGGAAATGTGGCTGAATTCGTGAATAGAAGTAATATGGCTGAATTCGGGAATAGTGGTAATGCGGCTGAATTCGAGAATAGAGGGAATGTGACTGAATTCAAGAATAGAGTGAATGTGGCTGAATTCGAGAAGAGAGGGTGTATGAATGAATTCGAGAAGAGAGGGGGTTGTGGCTGAGTTCGGTAATAGAGGGAATGTGAAAATCTGTTTTTAGTGTAATAACTTTTTGGTTATTTTTTCGATATGGAATTATCAGGATTTTAAAATTAGTTAATAGAATTCTTAGTCAGTAATGTTATGTCTTTTTCCAGACGTAAGGAAATATATATTTTTTTTAATTTTTTTAATATACGTCTCATCACCCACAACCGAAAAATAATGAGAAAAATAGAAGAACAAGTAATATAGTAATACAATGCATATGTACTGGTTTCAGCTGAGTCACTTTCATTGGTGTTGTCACCAACCATGTCCACCATCATTTTCGTATCAGCTATCTGAAATAGAAAATTATATTATGTAGGATGACAAGACATTTTATATCTAGCGTGAAACATTACATACAAATTATTTGTGAATCTTGCCTCATGAACTCAGGCAGAATGATTAAAATGGCTCAGAAAAGCAGTTCTCAAATGGCTAGGCCAAATGATATCCTACAATTTCTTAAATAAAAAAATATTCCAAAATATAACTTCAACGAAACTACAATATAAAACTTAAATATCTACACATCTACTAATCATGTCCACACAAACCTGTATATGTACCAAAGCTGAGTATTATCTACCATGTATACAGTTGTGAAAGCAGAATAAGCTATCATACTTTTATTACTTCTAAGCTCCAAAAAATATTAAATTTCGTCATTAAATGACCCATAACGTGTTGTTGTATCGTTAAACAAACAAACCAATTATAAACATATATTCGCGAGAAAGTCAATAATTAGCCGCATTCTTGTCTAAATATATGTTATGTGAAAAGTGTGGATATTTTTTTTACTTACTCTCGTATATGCATATCACAGTCACAGTATCTGTGCAAACGTCCATAAATACACAATTATCCAGTAATCGTGACCACAAAAACATGTATATGCAGAAAAGCTGAGTGTCATCTACCATATATTCAACTGTGAAAGCAGAATAACATATATATTTTTATTATATCTAAGCTCCAAAGAAAATTGAATGTCGGCATTAAATGACCCATAAGGAGTCGATATGCCGTTAAACAAACAAAACTTACTTACTATGAGAAATAAATAAATATTTAAAAGAAAAAAAATACTCGTTATTTCGATACATCAACAATTACGGTGACAATTTACACAGTAAGAGATTTTGTTATTTTTATTTGTTCCCTGTTGCTTCAACAAAAACATTCAGTTTTACCCCATTTGATATTTGAGAGGCAGGTCACTCTTTATTAGAATAAAGAAAGCATTGTTTCGAATTAAGAAAACCGCGCCCAGTAAAGTTTCACAGACAAGCATCTGATTTGTATTTTCCTAAAACTGAGCTGGAATTTTACAGAGGGTGTTTTAGATGCAAGGAAATTTGATAATCCTTATGCGACAATTCAGAAAGAAAACCATACGGTATTTAATGTCATTTGAGAGTCTCTGCATAAACGCTCAAGATGGTTTATGTTATGTGTGCCAAATTAAAGCCACGCCAAATTAAAGTCACGCAACGTTGCTTTGAATATTGTATATGGGTTGCAAATTATGCGTACAATAGGCCTTTTCTTTGTCAATTCCGTTTACTTCAGATCATGACCACTGACAATCAATGTCTACATAATTTTCAATGCATTTACACAGCAAATTATTTTCAATGCAAACCTGGACTAACATCCTGAGGAATACATTTCTATTAGACATGAAATTGCTTTATTCTGTCAATAATGCCTTGCTTAATTCCGGATGACCGAAATTAACTCGTTTCTTGAGCTTCAATAAATTTCTGTTGTAATATCACTAGCGATGAATTTATGTTATACATAAAATAATTCTATTCTGCCAATAACGTTAGCGTTAGACTATGAACATTGACAATACATTTCTATGATATTTTTAATTTCAACATTCGTTTAACAAATTATTTATGTTTTAAAGCTGTACTAATCTCATAAGTAACGCATATATAAATAAAACAGATTGATTTTGTCAATAATACTTCACCAACTTTGTGATAACGATCAATGTATTCATCATTGACGTTCATTTCAGTCCAGGTAATGAAATCATTAGAAAGTGTTTTATATTATATAGAAAGCTTTGTTCTGTCAGTAACGCTTGTATAAATTACTGACCACTGACAATGACTTTTCCTGATTTTCAATACATTAACATTATAAAATCATTATCATAGAATTTATATTATACATAAATAAAGTCTATTATGTCAATATCGTTGGCAGTAATTCATGACCACTGACAGTCCATTTCGAACTAAATAAACTCTGCTCTGCGGAAATTACTTTTTGGAAAAGATCGCACTATCTGGCGTGATCAAGAGTCTGATCAAAGCCACTATATTAAAACGCTCTGTCACGATGTCTTGAGACTTCGTGCTAGAACAACCATCGATGGCTCCCAAATAGTTCAGTCTACCCACTTTCACTCACAAGGCTTCGGTCAGAACGTGGTATGTTTTTCAGGCACTTTCCAAATGTGCCATATGCTGGCATCGCCTCTCCGAGCCGATAACTTCAAGGTCATTTTTTCAATGAATCGATCACGAGATTCATGAGATTCATTTGTCCCATGTTTGGAATGACAAACTTCTAAACCCTCTGCGAAGCGCCTATTGCACGTGGACCTCTGTCAAACAATAAATAAAACCTGGAACTCAGAAATAGTAAAAAAAGAAATCGACTGTGCAACATTTGATTTCAAATGTAGAAGTATTCCTCTCATATGGATCAAACAGTTGAACGTTAAAGAAAATCACGAGAAGAAAAACTAAAGGGTACTTATTGAGAGCAACGGTAACTGTTACCTGGAAACAACACCTACCCAATTAAGTACTATATTGGAATCTTACACAGATTATGGACTCAATCTATGAAAGGCGAATGTGCTTTAGAGGCAAATGCTAGAGAAACAAAATAAGAAGTCGTGTACCAGTTTATAATATGAGAATCAAATTATGGGAACAAGATCAAGAACTTGATCACCAAGAACGTCCATTGAAAGAGCCATAGACAACACCGGAAGTAGAAAGTAAGAATTGGATTGCGCTCTTGATGATGAAAATAGTTAAAATGTAGTACTCAGGAGAGTTCTTTTGAAGGAGATTAAGGGACGGTATGGTTAGCACAATCGAACATAAACAATATGTCGTACAGTAAATCGCATATAGATGTTTGCATTGAAACAACCAATTTTGAATCACACCTACTAAATTGCTAGTAGACTAATCTGAAACAATTATTTATATATATATCAGTCTCTCAAAGACACAAGTTCGAATCTCAGTTGATTATAATACATGGTCATTAGTGAAGTGTTATATATATATATATATATATATATATATGTGTGTGTGTGTGTGTGATTCGCAGATATTTACAGTTTCGCTGTATCACAGCTCCTCAGTGCGACTAGACAAGCGAATGCCATCACGAATATTCAGACCGGTAGAAGCAATTAGATAAAAAAAACAATACTGTTTAATTAATAAACAGAGCATCTGCTCGAATCTGAGTATTCATCTAAAAATATCGTTTAAGAAAAATAACTTAAAAATATCTTGGATTTAATCCATTTACATATATATATATATATATATATATATATATATATATATATATATATATATCGACTCTTCCGTCGAATCCGACGTATGAGGGTCAAACAAATCAGTTCCCAGGAAACCGACACCCCGACAACCGCACATGTGATTTGATTATAGTGGTGAAGGTTTCGTGCAGGACCATCCACACTTTTTGAAGGTCCGATTACAGAGACCTGGTGCACTATGTGCCACAAGGTCCCCAAACGACCCTCTGCAGGTTTTGAATTCAGAGTTGTCCTTCTCCTAGACCAGTTGCCATCTAAGGCTATAGAACCCAGTCTGTCCTGCTATTTACACATAGCTGGAGGGAGAAGAAGAGTATTCATACCTTTCCTAAGGGTACTAGCACGTAAGTGAATGTAATAGATTCGATTGGAATTTGAACTCAGCTCTCCAATTTCTAAATCCAAGCCGCTATCCATTACTCCACCGTTGATTCTATAGCCTTGGGTGGCAACTGGTCTAGATAAAGGAAAACTTTAAAACCGGTCTGAAGGCAAAATTGATGGGCAGATAGTGGCTCTGAAGCCTTGCAAGGCAGCATTAAATAAGTGAAGGTCACTCCGAAATAAAACCTACATTCTTGCACGCCGCTTTATCCCCTGGCAGCCTTTGCACCAGAAAGCAGGTGGCGGGCATTGGACAAGAGAGTGGGAATGGGAATACACAAACCTTTCTCACTTAAATAAATTTAAGGTGAAGATCATTCTACGACACTAGAAAAAGTCATTGTCGATGGAATACACAGGCTTTGGCTCACGACACGAGAATATACACACATATATATATATATATATATATATATATATATATATATATATATATATATATATATATTTAGTTTATGAAAAACTAGGTAATCCGTATGGGTAAACCTAAGGAGGATAAAATCCAGAGAGCTCAATATAAATCCAGAGCAAATAATTTGAATAAAAACAGACCACTTTAAGGTTTCATGTTATAAATTATTTCACCACAACCCTTTTAAAAGGACTGCGGATCATCAGACTTTACTTCCAAACAAAAAATGAAAAGAAAATTTTTGACGGGCCATATTCGGTTGACTAGTCGCACTGAGAAGCTGTCATACAGCAAAACAGTACTGTCTGCGAATGGCATAATTTAGCTCTTGAAATATATTTTCAATTGAGCTCTGTTGAATGACAGGCTAATTCTAAAAACAACGGTCACCTGCGTAAATGCAAAGCTCTTCAGTAAAATGAATGGAGCACTATGGCTGATTGACGTTTGTTTACGTTAGTAAAAACAATACGCTAGTTTTGGCCGACTCGTTCTGTCGAGTGAAGATGGCTCAGTGATAGAAGCTCTGACTTATACCGGGATTGAGGCATTCGGTTGTCTAGTCGCACTGAGGAGCTGTGATGCAGCGAAACAGTACTGTCTGCGAATGACACGCAGCATGCAGGCTGTGACACCCTGTGTCTGGGGAATGCTAAGGTTGATTTTTTCTTTATGTGACTTCACATGATTCACCCAGTCAGTCTTTGAAAAAAGTATGCGCTGATAGCAATCACAAATCCATCCCTTGATACCCTCGTTGAGTCCATGGTTATCTGCCATTCGAAGTCCCCGCTTTAGCCGTTTGTGTTCCAGCCGACACTCTTCGGAGAGTTGACACCCATTATTTGACCTCTCCATCCAATTCTATCTAAGGCCATCTCTTCCCAATTGTTGAGGTCAAATGCCAGCTTTTTAGATTGTTCTTGATATAGACCTTGTATCTTTTCCTTGGTTTGTGCTTAAGACGCTTTCCGACACTCAGCACACCAAAAAAACAATTGTTTTGGGAGTCTACTATCTTTCATTTGAATTATGTGCCCTGTCCATTGCATTTAGGAAGATGTTACAAGCGTCTCTATGCTTTGGCTGTTGGCCCTGACTAGGGCATCAGTATCAGGAGCTCTCCTTTCCCATTTGGCATTCAATATACGTCTCAGGCATTTCTGCTGGAAACGCTCAAGTAGTTTTATATGTTTGCTGAATAGTGTCCAGGTTTCGCAGGCGTGCAGAACAACCGTCCGGACGCAAGCTCTATACACACACACACTAAAGTATATATTTTCTTTCACACACACACACACACACACACACACACACACACACACACACACATATATATATATATATATATATATATACTGTCAGGTTCTTCATTCTACGTAAAAGCCTTAAAGAAGGTTACAAACAGACAAAGGCGGTACTCGAGTGAAAGGAACAGCAACACGGGCGTAAATGAAAGAAAGACAAGTTTATTGTAGAAGGGAATGCACTACTGAAGGACAGGGAATCGTTTAGCAAGCTAGTAATTCACCAAGCAAGTCCGGCAGGTATATGCTGTGCTTACCATACGCCTATATATATAGGCGTATAGAAGAACTGTCTGAACGCAAGCTCTATACACAAACACACCTTGGTTTGGTTTGTAATGTTATGAGCTGCATATACTCTCCTCCCCAGCTTTCCAAAGGCCGCAGAGGCCTTCTGGATGTGTAAATATATTTCGCCATCCAGTGAGCCATCTTTTGTAATTGTGCTACCAAGGTAAACAAACTTCTCAACTAACCCTAATCTTATTCCATAGACAAATATATTGGTCTCGATATATGGCTCTCTGGAGGCAGGAGTAATCATTACCTTGGTTTTTGTGAGGCTTATCGTTAGACCAAATGTCATGCATGAGGATGAGAAATGGTCTATAATATGCTGAACACCAGCTTCTGTATTAGCTAAGAAGTCAGCGTCGTCCACGTAGAGTAGCTCTCTAATCAAAGCTTGGTAAGTTTTCGACTTGGTATTGGACCTTCTCAGATCGAAAACCTCTCCAGTGGTTCTGAATCGTAAATCGATGCATTCATCACAATCTTGGAAAGCGTGCGGAAGTAGAGCAGCAAAAAAGATATAGAAAAGCGTGGGAGTAGGGATATCGCCCTGCTTTACACGATTGTCAATAGAGATTTCCCCGGAGAGTTGTCCATTGGAAGTAACCCTGGCTCTCATATTCCTGTGCAGCTGCCTGGCTATTTTCACAAACCCTGGTGGACATCCTACCTCTCTGAGTACTATTCAGAGAGCATCTCAGCTAACAGTGTCGAAAGCTTTTGCCAAATCTACAAATATCTGATAGAGGGGCATGTTCTGCTCAGTACATTTCTCTTGACTCCTTCGCGCAGAGAAGATCATGTCAACTACCCCTCTTCCACCCCTAAAACCATTCTTGTGTTTCTGGGAAAGCTACAGGATAGATATCTTCTTCCAACCTATTATTTTCGCGAAAACCTTCCCAACAGCCTCCAACAAAGTGATACCTTGGTAGTTACCACATATTGATTTTTCACTTTTTCCTTTGTATAGGTAGAGCAAGATACCATCGACCCAGTCTTATGGGGCCAGGGTCCCATTTTAATAATCAATAATAAGATTAGTTATCATGTCTGTCATGTTCTGACTTCCAACCTTCAGTAATCTGACCCGAATGCTATCTAGACTAGGTGCTTTACCAGAGTTAATTTGTTTGATTGCCTGTCTGACTTCGTAAAGAGTAGGTTGACAATCCATATGGTGTACAATGTCACACTGTAGCAGGCTCTCTGTAATGCTCCAATCGACAGAAGAAGGATTATCAAATAGATCTGTGAAATGCCCTTTCCATCGCTGAAGTATTTCTTCTGGTTCTTTGATGGTATTAGCATTGTCTTTTGACTTCAGGGGGTTAATTGAGGATGTTGGTGGACCAATGACTTGACATATCAATGAATAGAATGATTTGGAGTCTTTAGTGTTGAAGGTTTGTTGAATATCAGAGGCCATGTTCCTCCACCAATCATTTTTTCATCCTGTGTAGTTCACGTTATAGAATTAACTTGTGGTCCTTGTAAGCATTCTTATCTGCTGGTTGCTTTTCAAAATTTCTGGTTAAGTAGCTTTTCATATAGAGTGTGCTTGATTCCCAATAACTGTTTGATGTTAATGTTATTGACATCAAACCAATCCTTGTGTTTCCTGATTCTGAAACCAAGTACATTGGCCCCAACTGAATATACCTGGTCTCTAATGTTCTCCCAGGTACCGTCGAAGTCAAGGCTATCAAGTCTTTCCATCACAGTTGCACATATATCTGCTTGCTTTATATGTCGTCTCTGGCATTATTGTTGTTCTTCCTGCTTTTAATGAACCACCATTAACCGCAGGAGACTAACCGGTGTTGAGATAACAGACAATTTTTGGCACACATTTAATAGGCCTGCTCAGTCGCAAAAGCCTCCACCAAAGTGGGTTTCTCTCAAAATGAAGACACTCAGTGATGTTAGGATAAGACTCTCGCCGCCAATGTGTAGATTTGTGCCTGTGTGTTTCCAACTGGTTAAGTCTACACACGTTGCCCTTCATCCGTCGCCATGTACTTTTGGTTGAGATGTACGAATATAATGAGGCATCTGTAAATCATTTGATTATAGTGAGAAACGCTTGCAGAACACGGGTGTCATTGTCTAAGCCACCACGATTATGACCTGAAGACAAGCAAAGGCGAAATGATCAGTAATTGATTCAGTCGCAGGTTCGTCATCTGAGTTTGCTTCTCTTAGATGGGTTCATATAAACATGACTGAAGAGTCCCATCTACTCTGGTTTGGTCGTCTGAGTTATTTTTTCTCTTAGACGCGTTGACATAGACATGACTAAAGAGCTCCATCTATATATACGTATGTACACGTATACATATATATGATCCTTTCTGTGTGCTTGTAGATAACTTGGCGACGCCCCTCTACGATCCAAATCCTTGGTCGACAGCCAAACCAAGATAGATAGATAGATAGATAGATAGAAGACCGGGTAGATAGAAGACTGGGATAGATAGATAGATAGATAGATAGATAGATAGAAGACCGGGATAGATAGATAGATAGATAGATAGATAGATAGATAGATAGATTATTTCTCTTCGTTTACCGAGCTGAATATTACAGAAATTTTATTAACGATAATATACGGTCGTCTTCGGCAGTATACGATAATGAGGAGAATCCGTCGTTAGATTAAAGGTACTCTAGACCGACTGACCAGATTTTCACTGCCGGTTTTCCCTGGTCGATTTCCGATTCGAAATGTAAACCGTCTATTTTCTAAAGAATTAATAGATTTACTTTTCTGCAAACATTTTTTATTATTTCGAACGGTATTTTTAGCGGATATCCGTGTCTGACTTGAGGCCCCGGTTTTTAAACCGTGATGAAACCAATATCTCCAGAAAACCCCAAAATTAAAATGCCGGACTTCGTGGACAAGTCGGTCTAGTGTACCTTTAATCTAACGACGGCTTCTCCTCATTATCGTATACTGCCGAAGACCGTATATTATCGTTAATAGAATTTCTGGAATATTCAGCTCGGTAAACGAAGAGAAATAATCTATCT